TAAGGTAGCATACTTGTGGCCTACCACCACAACTACTTCCAAAATAAGAATATGAGGCACTTATTATTTGGTTAACTAACTCCACATCTTTATTAACCTTGGTGTAATAGAAATTTGCAATGTATCTTATGATTGCACAGGACAATATAACTTCAGGAGCTGCATTTAACTATCCCTGAATTTCCTCTTCTTGTAAACAAACACCCTGAGCTTCCTCTCCTGCAGCAGCAATGCCTGCCATCACGTCTCAGGTATTTACTCAACCAGTTCTTTAGATTTTCTGTCCTACTCAAACTACAAGCCAATTAACCTAAATAGAGGGGGGGGGACACCACTCCAAACAGGCAAGAATTCCCAACAATGTGAAGTGGTGAAAAATATGAACCCCAAGGCCAACCAGGAATTTCCCACAAAAATTCCTACTCAGCCTCCAAACACTACCAGCAAAAATCAACATTGCAAAGGGAGGGACGGCATGAAAAGGAAGAAAAGTGGAAGAGTTTGGGATGTGGAGCCAATCTGGTTCCTCCCCCTTCTTGATTGGCCAGTTGGGATCTGCATGCCTACCATGTTCCTCCGCTGGAACACATCACCTTTTATTGTAAACCACTCTCTGATCCCTTGATGAAGGCAATATATTATAAATAAACTTATGTCATCTCCATATGAAAATTGGGATGTGGCAGATTTACCCCCACTCAACGATAGGAGCAGCATTGCAATGAATACTCTCCTAACTCTACCATATTATCATGCTAACTCAAGTAGTGACATTACTCCCATTACCCCACAGGTGGACATTAGGCCAATGTCTTTCCACATTACCCAGTGGGCTCTAGGAATCCAGACATTAAGTATATGGAGAGACTGAGCTTAAACATACAGAAGAAGGCTCTTGTAAAGATTAAGTAGCGTTAATGAAGTTCAAGTGGTAAAAATGCTTAAGAAAAAACTACATCATATTTTTAAAAACAGCCATCAGCATCAACCATAATTCAACTACAGTTGGTACCTCAATTTTACAAATGACTCAGGTTACAAACGCTTCAGATTACGAACTCCACTAACCTGGAAGAGTTACCTCAAGTTGAGAACTTTGCCCCAGGATGAAGAACGGAAATTGCGTAGCGGTGGCGTAGCATCAGCAGCAAGAGGCCCCATTAGCAGAAGCATGCCTCTAGTTAAAGAACAGTTCCAGGTTAAGAACAGACCTCCAGAATGAATTAAGTTCATAAGTTGGATCCTCCTAACAGAGGGTCCATGTTGTGCTCGGCCCTGAAACTCTTCCAAAGTCGGTGCCCACAGTTATGCCAATGGCCTTTAGCCAATCAGCAGCGTGGCAAGGTTGGGGGGTTGGGGTATCTATTTGACAGCGTGACGAAGGGACCTCCTTTTGCTTCGCGCAGGAGCCAGATATAGTTTTATACCAATGCCTAAGCCAATACCAGTCACATTTGTGTATTTTAATAAAGTTGTGGCCAAAATTTGCACATTAACATTTAAACTAAATTCTGTCTCCACTGTGTCTTTATTTCCATTCAGGATCGGTTTTGGGGCTCAAAGCACAACTAGAGGTACCACTGTAGTGTTAACAAATATAATTGTAATGGTGCATGCCAATCTGAACTTCTTCTGTAGTTTATACAGAAGACACTCAATGAATGATCTTGAACCTGGTACTTGTCTTTATCCTAATCATGACCAGGAAGTCATAACTAAATATCTGGACCTCTTAATACCTGCAGTACAGATCAGCGCACTAATCCTCTGTTATCAGTAAAGTTTCCCGTAGGAAAGAATGGAGTTTTGCACAGACAATGAAACCTTCCTAAAGTAAA